AAGTTGCTGCATACACAATTACTTCACCCCCCTATAATGCCAAAAATATATTATTGTCTACTTTTTTTTTTTTTTTTCTATATTAGCATAATTAATATGAATTTTGGTTGTCAAACCTGTTCAGGAGTCCTCGTGAAAGGAAGATATGGAAAAATATAATGCAATATTAATTTTTTAAAAAAGGCAGTATCTCTAGTTAATCCAGTTGTAGGGACAAAACCAGGACTTAGTGCAATAACAGAAATATTTTTCACTTCCTTCGCTTTCAAGATTTTATCAAGTTGATAACAAAATAACATTTGTGACAATTTAGAATTCTTATAGAATAATAATCCGTCATAAACTTTACTCCCATCCAAATTGTCATACTCTAAATTTGGTCCTTCACCTGCTCCAGTACCTTTTATGTGTAACGAACTATTAACTAACACTATCCTAACATCGTCTCCTGAATTTAACATACGATCAATTAATAAATCTATTAATAGAAAATTAGATAAATGGTTGATTTGAAATGTTGATTCTAATCCGTCGACACTTTTTCTCAAAGATTTAAAAACTGCTCCAGCGTTAAGAATCAGACGATTTATTGGTAAAGCTGGTGAACGTAATAAAAATTCACTTGCAAAAGATTTAACTGACTCGAATGATTCCAAATCTAGTTGAAATAATTCAATCTTGTGATGATCAGGAACTTTTAGTTGTGAGATTGATTGTTGAGAACTATCGATATTACGAACTGGTAAAATAAAATGATAAGGAGTTGGATGTTTTAGCATTTGTCTGAGAGCTTCATAACTATCATCATCATATATTAACTTTAGTATCTTCAAAAGAAATTATTTATCAAATAAAATATTCTCCTAATAATAATCACCCTAAACCTGAATTAGCTCCTGTTAATATTATAACTTTATGTGAACTCATTTTTTTCACTAAAAATAAAATATGTTAAATTTATTTATATCGAGTGTGATGATTACACCCCCTTGCACATCATCTGCAAATATATTTAATGGGATAAAATAAAAATGTAAAGACATGTGTATTACTCAAAAAAGTAAAAAAAAAAACTTTTCATAACTTTAGATTATTAATATTAATAACATTAATAGTAAAATATTTAAAAGTAAAAAAATTAAAATTAAATCATGAAAAAAGCACCTACTTTACCACCTGAATGCCTTAAAGAAATCTTCAAGTGTTTACAAAATGATCCGGGAACTCTTCATTCGTGTCTTTTGATAAATCGAAGGTGGTGTCAAAGTTCTGTTGGATTTCTATGGCAAGATCCTTTAAAATACCTTATGACATTTATAAAAAAAGCTCCAGATTCGGAAGAGTTATTTCATTATAAAACGATGTTGGAAACGTTGATTTCTGGTCTTTCTCCAGAATCCAAAAATATACTTAAAAATATTGGTATAGACGAATCACTTTTAAATACCAAACAAACATTATTTGATTATTTTAGTTATTGTAAAGTTTTGAAAAGCGGCGTTCTGAAAAAAATGATCAACGAGGGACTTCACGAATATCATATTGATAAGGAAGAATATCAAAAAGACCGTGAACTGTTTATGGTTGAACAGGAATTATATAAACATTTTATTAGCAAAGCAAATTTTATTGTTTCACTTACTCTAGACCCTAAGATAAAGTTACATATACCTTATTTTAGTGGAGCGGATAAATGTTTTTCAGAACTGAAAGAATTAAACTGTGCTTCTGTTACGACTTCAGCAATATTTTATGGAATTGCACAGATCTCAAAGCATATTGAAAAATTGATGATCAATCCTTGTTGTAAGGATAACTTTGGCCTGATTCATTTGATCCGTACTCAAGAGAATCTACAATGCTGTCGTCTTTTAACAAACTATTCAAATGACGACGAGTATGATTTTGATTCAGAGTCGACTGAAGATCTTTATACTGATGAAGAGTGTTATGAATTGGGACAAGCGTTGATAACACAATCAAATTCTTTGACATTTCTTGAAATTAGCGGGACTTTTTGTATACCAATACTTGACGTATTGTCATTTAAGAATTTGACGACTTTAAGATACGGGGTGAATTATAAAAGTTATACAAATAATGAGATTGAAAAATTGGTATCAACCGGATTTCCAAAACTTGAAAATTTAATTATTTACGATGGCGTGATACCATTAAAAATTGTTATTAGTTGGATCGAGTTATCGGAAGGAAATCTTAAAAACTTATATTTAGGAACACAATATCGTGACAAAATAGTTGGATATGTTGAGAACATCATCAAATTATTGACACGTTCATGCCCAAATCTTTTATTTATTACAACATGGATTAACACGGCTTGTTATGAACATTTAGATCAACTATTTAAAAACTGTAAAAAGTTAAAAGGAATATCGTTGATACCGGTGAAAGGAGAAGGCGCGGAAGGTGACGAGTATCTAAAGACACTAGGTGAAATATTACCAAGCTCAATCAAAATCTTGAGATTAAGAACTGACAAAAATGAATGGAAATTTACAAATGAAGCATTGAAAACATTTTTCGAGTCAAGAAAAAGTAATGGGCCTATTTCATTACAAATGGTAAGCAATAGCAGTTCATCTAGTGTTCGTGGATACATCGACATTATTAAAAAATATCACGAGGAAGGGGCATTAAGTGAGATTAGACGGTTATTTTATAATAAAGATCACGAACCCAATTGGAAACCAGATGCCGGATTTCATTTGGAAGAAAGTTTGGACGCTGTTTTTAATAGTGATAATAGTGCTTGTAATTCCATTTATATGGATTCAGATGATGACGACGATGACGACGATGACGATGACGATGACGATGAAAGTGATGATAATTCGATTAATTCAATTGATTTAATACACACCTTCTATTTACAACATCAATTTTCTGATTCAGATACTATAAGCTCCGATGAGTCTTACGGACTCTCTCTAGAATCAACCGAAGAAAATAATTCCTCTTCCTCTTCCTCTTCCTCTGAGGATAATAACGATAATTCTCCCGATTCTTCCGATGCAAACCTTTCTTATGGTAACGATTCACCCGATGACTATAATCCCGATTATTCAGCCACTACAATTCTTTAAAAAATCAATATTGATTTTTTCTTTATTTTTTAACAAATAGATTACATCGGTCACATCAGACACAGAGATTTTTTTTTTGCCGATTTCATTTAAAATTATGTACAAATTTTATTATTAATATTTTCACTTTTTATTTCTCGTTAATTAGTCAATTAGTCAATAGATAAATGAATGCTAAATTTGGTGTAATGATATTTTCCTCCAATATGTATGTGTGTGTATGTTGAAATTAAATAGTATGAATAGTAAATAATAAAATTATTATTAATATCAAATAATTTTTCTATTTTTTAATAAAATGTACATAACATTAATTAATATATATAACATCATTTAAATAATAAAAATAATAACAATAAATTCAAATTGAATTGTTTTTTTTTTTAAAAGCATGTTTTTTTCATTCATCTCCAATCGAGAAAAACGATGAAAAATTTTCAGGATTAATATTATCATCATTATTGTTATTATTATATTTTGCTGTAATATACCACAAAAAAATTGATAAAATAATTATAAAAATAGAAAATCTCCATATTAAAACATCTTTACGTTCTTCGTTTGAATTTATCAATTTCATGCTCCTTGATGATAGTGATGTAGGTGATAAGAATAGTGATGTTGATGGTGGTGATGTAGAAATTGGGGAAGTATTTATTGTCATTGATTTTGTCGATAATGTCGGTGATGGTGGTGACGACTTTAACCAATTATTTTTTAAATGTTCTTGTTGATCTTCTATCTTTTTAAAAATCATTAAATTTTATTTATTTATTTTGTTTTAACTTAATTATTTATTATATTTTTCTCCTTTAATTTTTTACCTTTCGAGATGGCAATCGTTTAATAATATTAGAAGATGGTGGTGGTGGTAATGGTGCTAAAGAACAATGTTTTACAACTTCTTGCATAAAAGGTTTTATTAGAGCTTTTAGTGCATCCTCATAAGTAAACTAGATGTGTGTGTGTGTGTGTGTGTGTGTATATATATATATATATATATATATAAGTTTATTTATTTATTTAAAATAATTGGTATTTTTTAATTGAAGTAAAAGACAAACCCATTGTCTATCACGTTCATCCATTTCTGGCCATCTATCTTCTAATTGATCTACCTCCATCTCAAAGAAACTGAACATTGCTTTTGGTAACCCTGTCGATTTATTTATATCATGATCCCATGCTCCAATAAACGATATAACTCTGCCTCTTGCTCCAGCTATAATAAATATATTAGTAAAATTAATTAGAATAAAATTTTTAAATCAATTCATTAAATCACTATCTAGAATCAATGGTTGTAGTTATTATATATGATATACCTTCTTCGTATGTTTCTCTAGCAGCAGCTTCTTGCTCTGTTTCATCATTTTCCCAACCACCTTTAGGCTTTTTTTAAAAAAGTGCATAATTTTTTTCATGGTAATTTATTTACCTAATAAATTGAGGAATAAATTTAGGCTTTTTATTTTTTTAAAAAAAATATTATTTTTATTATTATTTTGATATATATAATATACTTACCTTATTGCCAAATATTAAATCTAAATCATATCTAACATTTAACATATCTAACTTTTAAGATCTAATTAATATACAATACATACATGATGTGAAAAATCTGCATCCATAATAATGACAAAATTGCCAGTTACAAATTTTAATCCATGAACATATGCAGTTCCTAAACCTAATTTACCAGCTCTAGGCTTAAGAATCTAAACCAATTAAAAAATTTTGAGTGATTGCTACAGGAAAATTTCTTAAAATTTCTTAAAGCAAAATAAAAAAACTTTTAACTATTTGATCCGGTCCATAAACTTTTGCAAGTTGTAATGCAATCTCTTGTGTACCATCTGGTGAAGCATCATCGACTATAATAACTTCCCAATTTAAATCACTACAAATATATTTATATTATAGAATAACGATTAACAATTATTTATAAACAGAGTTTAATAAATATATATTAATCAATATATTTAACTGTTCTTTAAATGTTCTTGCCAGCAACCAAATAAGTATTGGTAAATTTCCTCGCTCATTATATGTTGGCAATATCACACTGTACTTATCTTCTATACTTTCTGTTGGTACTTGAACTGTGGAAAACATGGTTCGTTTGTTAAATATTTTGAATAAAAAATGAATGAAATCAACCGGTAACACAAAATAAAATAAATTAGGATCTGCATTGTGCACATATTTATTCCAAAAAAAAATAATCAGATTTATTATAATAATGTCTTATCTTACTCGTACAATTAGTAATTTTTTAAAGATAGGACCAAGAGAATACCTTAGACAATTAAATCGTATTGGAGACACGAAATTTGGTACTTTTATTGGAATTGATCAATTTGGAAACAAATATTTTGAAAATAATGAGGAATTCTTTGGTATGAGCCATATATAAAAATATTTGTCATTTTGTAGATTTCTTATTAAACAAAAATTTTTGAAATTGAAAATAGGTAGAGAAAGATGGGTAGAATATGGTACAACAGAATATGATGATGCTAGTCAAATCCCCCCTGAATGGCAAGTATATATATATTTACATAAAAATTTATAGGTTTGTAGTTTTTATATGCTGAAAAATTTAATTAATTTTCTCCTAATAAAATATCCAGGCATCGTTGGATTCATAAAATTACTGATAATCCACCAACAAGCGAGCCTTTACCACATCCAAAATATAAAGCATCACACGTAGAAAATCCAACTTTAACTCGGAAAGCTTATAAACCATATAATACTACTGCACCTAAAATTATACCTTGGGAACCAAAAATCTCACCAAGATCTTGATATTTATAATAAATTAATAAATATATTCATACATAGATATGTATAATATAATAATACAAAATATTTGAAAATTTTATATTAATTAAAGATTTAACAATTTATTTGATTCATCTACCAATTAACTTTTTTTCGAGGTTGAATTAATTTGATATTTTTATCGAGAATTCGAGGATGTTAATATGATGATTGTATCTGTTTTAGTGTTTTTAGCAGATTTCCACATTTCGTTATTTCTTTGTTTTCTAGGCATTGCCCAAAATATATATTAACGATTTTGCTTTGTTTAAATGTATGACTATATCTTTGCACTTTATTAAAAGTTTACGATCCTTTTATTTTATGACAGGCTAAAATCCAGCATAAATCTTATAATTAATGAAAAAATCCCCTTCAGCATGTAAATCTGGTGACCCGATTAGGGTCTAGCAACATTATTGGTAAAGCATTTTTTACAAAATTTGTTTTTTTTTGAAATTAATAAATCACTTGTTTGTTTCGGATGTTTAAGACATATCTTTTTGTTTTCTTTTCTTGCTTCTTTTTTAAAAAACTATATAAATTTAAATTTGGATCATTGAGTACATTTTTGGTTATCACAAACTTTTTTGGCCGTTGATCAGTTCTAACAAGGAATTATTATGTATTGTTCAACACAAAGACGTCTTCTTTGATTAAATGAATTTCTTATTTAATATTAAGATTTATTTATAAAAAAAAGATTATGTTTTTACAATTTCTTTCCAACAAGTCCAGTTAAATCACAACTGATATTCCACCATTGTTTTTGTTTTTCTTCGTCGTAGCTTTCTTCACTTGATTTGGTTATATTACAGAATTGATCAATATAAATAGCACTTTTTCCAACAATATCATCAGAAGTTGCTGCATACACAATTACTTCACCCCCCTATAATGCCAAAAATATATTATTGTCTACTTTTTTTTTTTTTTTTCTATATTAGCATAATTAATATGAATTTTGGTTGTCAAACCTGTTCAGGAGTCCTCGTGAAAGGAAGATATGGAAAAATATAATGCAATATTAATTTTTTAAAAAAGGCAGTATCTCTAGTTAATCCAGTTGTAGGGACAAAACCAGGACTTAGTGCAATAACAGAAATATTTTTCACTTCCTTCGCTTTCAAGATTTTATCAAGTTGATAACAAAATAACATTTGTGACAATTTAGAATTCTTATAGAATAATAATCCGTCATAAACTTTACTCCCATCCAAATTGTCATACTCTAAATTTGGTCCTTCACCTGCTCCAGTACCTTTTATGTGTAACGAACTATTAACTAACACTATCCTAACATCGTCTCCTGAATTTAACATACGATCAATTAATAAATCTATTAATAGAAAATTAGATAAATGGTTGATTTGAAATGTTGATTCTAATCCGTCGACACTTTTTCTCAAAGATTTAAAAACTGCTCCAGCGTTAAGAATCAGACGATTTATTGGTAAAGCTGGTGAACGTAATAAAAATTCACTTGCAAAAGATTTAACTGACTCGAATGATTCCAAATCTAGTTGAAATAATTCAATCTTGTGATGATCAGGAACTTTTAGTTGTGAGATTGATTGTTGAGAACTATCGATATTACGAACTGGTAAAATAAAATGATAAGGAGTTGGATGTTTTAGCATTTGTCTGAGAGCTTCATAACTATCATCATCATATATTAACTTTAGTATCTTCAAAAGAAATTATTTATCAAATAAAATATTCTCCTAATAATAATCACCCTAAACCTGAATTAGCTCCTGTTAATATTATAACTTTATGTGAACTCATTTTTTTCACTAAAAATAAAATCTGCTAAATTTCTTTATATCCACTGTCATGCTCACACCC